AATTCTTCAAGATCAGAGATCTTCAAGATCATGTGTTACCATAAACACATGGGAAGGAGTCCACCAGGAATTTAGTGCCAGCTTTGCTTCTGATGGATATAAGCTGGCCTTCCAGAATCTGAAGTATTCCTTTCCAAAGTGCATAGTAGCACAATTAAGCGACTGAATTACTGACTTGTTAATTTGCTTCTGTTTGTTCAAAAGATCACTGATAAAGCAATGGCAATCTTCATATTGCTTATCCATTTTGAAAAAGCTGGTATTATTAAAAGTTCTGCATGCACTATTCATCTTACTTGTGGAAATAACAGTTTTTTAAAGGCTGGCTCTTTTTATTTGGCTTGAGCAGTCAGTGTCCATGTAATAGCCCCTATGAAATCATTAGCAAAATTAAATAAGTAACCGATGTAGCATTTCCACAAATGCATGGTGCATTCCCTTTGCACAGAGTGAACAGCAAAAAGTACTCAAGCTAAGGTAGAGTAGTCAAAATGACTAAAACTGCACATTTTCATCATTCCAAACATAAGCATAGCCACGGTGGTATACTATCATAGTACATAATAATAGAAATGAATTATGTCAGTAAAATGTGGAGGCTTAAGATTTACCATGATAAATATTTTTCATTAAAGTGAAATATCTTGGCAGAGTCACTTTCACATGCACAGTGTTGACACAAGGAGGCCAGCTGTGCCTATGCAGACGCCGGGGTTCGGGTCTGTATTATTAATGATTTATCATGTCATGGAGAATGCAGATGGGTTTTGAAAGCCATCCTCACCACAAAAGCACTTTCTGTAATGTGCAAACGCAAGGAATACTATGTGTGCATTCCAAACTGAAGCCATTGCAGAAGCTGCAGCTACCTTTGAAATTCCAGCACCTTTATCTTTTCATTGTGGAACAAGAAAATCGACATCCTAAACTATGTCATTCAATAAAAGTCTGCAAAATATTCTTCCCGTCAACTGGATATCAAGTCACGTGCACTTGAATTAACAAACATGTTCACACAGGTGAGGGAGAAAGGAGATAGGCTGGACTGATAATGTACTGCACACCTCGTAGCCATAAGTCTCACAGCTTGAGACTTTGTGCTAAATTTCTAATCCAGTTCTGTAGGATTCCAGCACTGCACTGACTTCCCCACATCCATAAAACCATTGGTTAATCTCTATTCTGTGCTTGCTGTGTTCTAGGTAAGATGATAAACACCTTACATATGTGTTATCATATTTGGTCTTCACAAAATTCATTTGAAATATTATCATCACCATCCTGTTTTACAGACGAGGAGACTAAAGCCCAAGGTTGTTAAATAGATTATTCTAGGCCACAAATCTAGGGAGAGGAGGAGGATTTGAATCCAGGCTGAATAATACTCTAGAGACTTCTCTAATAGCTATGGCCTTGCCATTACCTACTTTTACAACTAAATGAGGGGTAGCATGCAAACCGTGGTTAGCGGCTACCTGTGTGACATTAACCAAGTCACTTAAACAACTATGATAATCATAATACTAACAGTCCCTATAAGTGCTTAGAACGGAGTGGACACATACATTTGGCTTAATAACTAAGGTAAGGAGTTGTTCGTTCTGGCCATCATTTTTTATTGGCAATTATGTGCAAAGGTTTTCTATAATTTCCAGATGGCTTTTTTATACTTAAAACTAGATTATAAAATAAGTATACTGCTTATTATACACACAATGCTAAAGCATAACCGTTCACTGTGTAGCATTGAGCCTGTAAATATTTCTCTCTGGGTATGAGGACAGCCTGATACCACCATTCATGCGTTCATTCAGTGGCCCCGTGTGATGCGTTTGTGCCAGGACAGCTGCACCCTGGGCACACGGCATGGGTGGAACCCAACTCTGAGGAGCTTCCCTCCGGGAAAGGCAGGTCTTCCTGATTTGGCACATCAGAGAGTGGGTTGGAGCCGCAGACTCTGTTTATTCGGTGTCCAGCGCTGTGCTGGGCGCTGGGAACCGCCAGGTAAGGAAGACCGGGACCCTGGCATCCAGAAGTGGTCAGTAGGATGCCGCTCTTTCTATCACCTGACTTGTTAGAGGACCGCAGCAGCACTTAGTCTCACCCAGGTGTTAGTGGAGTGAGGGAAATTTCATTCCTTTTGTTTTTATTAAGAACCTCACAACAGAGCTATAATGCAGTGTGGGGGGGCTGGAGACTTGAACAGGGTTCAGAGGGTGTAAAAGGAACTGATGGGACTAAATGCCCATCAGCTGCTGCCGTGGCAGCTACGTGGACTTCCTTCCACATGTCGAAATGGGAAGCATCATTTTCCTATCAAGATTTCTTTCTAGAAACCAGGATAAGACAGATCCTCTGGGGCAGTGTTTTGATCTTCATCAGAAGGTGAAGGGCGTCATTCTTTCCGTCTGAGCTCACTGCCTACCTCTCCCTCTCTTCCTCTAGCAGAGCAAAGGTTGACTTGGGGGCCCTGGGCTGATATTTAGACTGAAAACGTGTCTAACCCAGCGACCCAGCAGCGTACCCTTCTGCAACCTGCAGATTTTGTTCCTGGCTGTAAGAAGTAAGGCAAACTGAGCTCTGTAAAGTTGGTCATTATGGCATTAGAGCAAAGAATTCAAGAATCCAGAAAACCGCCCCCCCACACTTTGGTGTCTCCTCAGACACAGCACCGCGCACCCGCTGTCTGTCTCCCCGTGGGTGAGAATTTGAGTCCTCCTCGGCGCAGTGACCGTCTCCTTTCCTCTTCCTTCAGTGCACAGCGTCCTCTGCCTGCCATGGGCTTTGCCTGCTCCCTTGGTAGGGAAGATGCGGAGAGCGCGGTCGCCAGCACAGAGACCCAGCTTTCTGGGTCAGAAGTTGGCTGAGGAAGGGCCCTGACTGCCAAGTAACTCGAGGCGATGTCAGAGCCCAGCTCAACCACAAAACGCCCTCCGGGCCCCCAACAAAAGACTTCACAACAGAAAAATCGCAGAGCTGGCTCGCCCAAGTGGTTCTTCCCACCCCCAACCCTTTTCTTGTAATAGGAAGAACAGCAGGAAGAGAGTTTATATTTAAAAGACTCCCCCTCCTCTACCCTCCTTCCTTTTGATTACAAAGTGCTAAGCAGCGAGGAAACAGGTCTCCGGATGGGTCCGCAGCAGCTCTTGGGGTGTCTTTTCTGAGGTCCTTTTCAACACTGTCAGAGGAACTTGCAGAAACAACTCCTAAATGTAAACATGTAACTGTGTTCGCAGAGAGCAGGAAGCAAAAAGGAAAATACTTTTCCGTCTCTCACGGCAATTAACCATACGCCAATAAATATTAAAAGCTCAGCAGAAAAGCCCTCCTCTTTTTCTCTAAGCAGGGGCTGCCTGGTTCATCCCAGTCACTTAGAGCCCTTAGTGATAGATAATTCGACTGGAAATTAATAAATACAGCCCATTTTTGGAAAGGAAATTTGGATTAAAACTCCTTTTATTGTGGAATATATAACTCTGTTTTTTTTTTTTTTTTTTTGCTCCTTTCATTTGTGAATCAATTTTAAATGATGTCACTTCAAGGACATTTTCATTCTTTCTCACAACGTATTACACGAAACAACACTTGCCTGTAAAACCGGCTCATTAGCCTGCAAAATTATACTGTACTGAATGGCTTTCATTCAAAGTAGAAATGGGATTTTTTAGTAGGCAATTTCTGTATTTTATAAAGATAAAGCAATGTTTGATTGCCTCTTCCCAGATGTTTTGCTTAGTGGTTATAAAGAGAAATTGGGGAGTCGGGGTGGGGGGGTTGTGTGGGGGCGGGTTTGCAAGAATGAGCTTAAAAAATAAACCTTAAGATGAAAAACTCCGGCAGAACTTGAGGGAACCGCTGCGCCCTCAGCTCGCCGGGCTGCAAAGATCAGTGCTTTGGGTGCCTGGGAAGCAGCCCCGAAAGAAGTGAGGGGAAGAGGGAGGGAAGAGAAGGCGGCTTCACCGGCTGCGGCGGCCCCGGCGAGCAGAGCTGGGCGGCGGAGAGGAGAGGGGAAGAGAGGGGA